GCTGAAGTGTGTGTGTGTGTGTGTGTGTGTGTGTGTGTGTGTGTGTGTGTGTGTGTGTGTGTGCTGAAGGTCAACAGACGATCATGCTAAGCTTGCTAACTGTTCCACCCTCTGACTGCTGCAGGGGCGTGTCTTAGAGAGAGGCTTTTATACCAGAACACAGCCGCTGTGACGAAACCGTGGAGAAGACACGTCACCATGGAGAGCTGTTAACCAATACGCAAATTAGCCTGCAGTACCACTGCTCTACCCATTTGAGCAGCAAAAACACGTTTTTACACCAAATATTACAGATTTGAACAAATACGCACAAAAACATCAAAATTAGCACAGAAACAGTACTTTATAACATTTTAGACACATTCTAGACAGTTTATCAGCTAAACAAAAGTAAATTTTGGGGTAAGTTACTCTTTAATGTCAAGTGTTGCTTTTGTGAAATTGTAGGACACTTCCCTCGATCTCAATGTAGTAGGTCATGTTTACCAGATTATATTGATGTGTTTTGTTTTCAATGCATCATGTGAAGGAGTGTCCTTGACAAGATGACAGTGTATTTGTAGTTCTATGAGCATTTGCACATCAAAATACACTTAGAATCTGAAGTATTGAGTATATTTACTATATATTGCAATAATTTACTCTGTATTTTGCCACACTGGCAATCCTGGGGTCGTGATGATGGGGCCCTTGAATATTGTTGCCCAGGGTACAGCGAAGTGTTAATCCGGCCCTGCTAATAGACTAGTCTAAAGTTAAAGCTGCATCTCAGATTGGGCCAGAGAAATGTTTGTTAAATCTGTTTTCCACACAGCAGCGCATCAGATTTCAGCATGGCGAAAGTGCGCTACTTTTTAAAAAACTAATACCTCGTCAGATGGTGTTTATTACCTTTTAAAACTTTTTAATGGCTTTAATTTTTGCTTATTTGATTTACAACCTTTTAATACTTTTTACAACCCCGCGGATACCCTGTCAACGGCAGTTTTATTTTTCCTCAGTAAATAAGTCATACTGCGGCTCAAACCACAGAGTTCAGGGATAATATTTACAACAAGTTCATTAGAGCTTTATGTATGAGAAATACATACTCAAATATAACCACCTATAGGTGGTGCTATAATTGAAGGTTTTAAATTTTGTTCTGTAACTTCAAAACTGTAAGCTGCACAAATAAAAGCTTGATTTCTACACATTCCCTAGACCAGTGGTTCGCAAACTTTTTATCTTCTGACCCACAAAATATCCATGGCTTAAACTTGTGACCCCAAATATAACTGGTCTGAGTACACGAACTCCATTAATAATCCTAAAAACACAGGCTTTTTGACAATCTAAACAGTTTGTACACAAATATAAATACTTATTTTTACTTATTTTGTGTTTTTGTAATAATTATAGGGAATATATTACATTAGCAATTATTTTATTACCCTTTAAATTGATTTCTGGAGATTATCCAAGGTGCTTCATGACCCATAATTGGGTCCCAAGCCCAACTTTAGGAACCAAAGTTCAGTGGTTCCCAAACTTTTCAGCTTTTGACCCACAAAATAACAGCAGCGGAGACCTGTTCCCCCAGCTATTTTTGGATGATAAACATTTGTATCAGGTCAACTAAACATGGGCATAGTAACAATATTATAATACTACATTTATCCATTTTAAATGTAAATTTCCCCACTGCGGGATTAATAAAGGAATATCTTATCTTATCTTATCTTAAATACACTAACCTCACTCCTTTGTAACAACTAAGCCAAAAATGTCATTAATTCAGAAAATCTTTTCAGGACCCCACCTTGCTGTTTCGGGACCCCACTTTGGGTCCCGACCCCAACTTTGGGAAACACTACCCTAGACTATGCTGAATATAATGATACAAATGATCACATCCTTTCTGCCTCACAAATTTTGAAAAATCTACTTTAGAAATCTTCTCAAAAGTTTAAAGTTTGATCGATAAAAGAAAACTGAAAGGAAGCAAAAGATTTTTCTGCCCTGTACATCCTTACCTTTAATAAAGAGAAGAAAATGTATAGCCTTTCACTTCCTTTTGACTTTGTTCCCAGTTTTAACGTAACATGTCTGTGTGTTTTCGACCAGGACATGTCTTCTGACTCCCACTTTAACATGTTACTTGGACTGATTTATTCCACTTGTGCAACTCTGTTAAACTTTGAAACATTTTGTCCCAAAATGGCACAGAACTTGCTGCAAGGATTGAATGTCCACTAATTGCTAAAAGTTTCACACACACACACACACACACACACAAAAAGAAAAGCTAGGAAGACAGGAAACAGAAATACACCTACATTCTCGCTGTTGTGGTCAGCCTCGCTCACACAGCCGAACAGCTCACGGCGCAGAAGGTTGCCATCGTATTCAAGAAATGTGAGGTAAAGATTCCTGAAGAACTCCACGTGCTTGTTCTTCACTCGCAGCTTCTTTGGAGAGTTCCAGTGGATCACCTGATGAGGAGGACACCAGAGACGACAGTAACAGGTTACCTAGACTGCCTCCTTCCGCCTGCGTAATATCACTAAAATTAGGTGGATATAAAGTAGATTTTTCAAAAATCAGGTGGATATTTTAGCATCTCAGCTCACTATAGACTTTGAACTGAAAAAGCCTCCTGGATGGGAAGTGAAATGTCTTCAACTTTAGAGTTGAAAGTCCAGTTGTTTTTGTTTTTAACTCTTTTTTTGATCACTAAAATAAGAAACATTTTGTCCAAAAATGATGCAGAAAAACTGATTCATGCATTTCTCATATCTAGGCTGGATTACTGTAATTCTTTATTATCTGGGCATCAAAAAAACTCTTTGAGAAGTCTTCAGTTAATCCAAAATGCTGCTGCCAGAGTTCTAATGAGAGTTGGAAGGAGAGATCATATTTCTCCAGTTTTAGCTTCTCTCCACTGGCTCCCTGTCAAATTCAGAATAGAATTTAAAATCTTACTTCTAACTTTACTGTCATCTAGTGGTAGGATCATTTTCTTTGACAGATTGGCACGTGTCGTTGCAGTTTGGGGAGGTTATTTGTCAAAACAGCCTTTTAAATCATGGTGTTAAAACAAAAAATAGTTGTAGATTGCTAGTTCTGCTGCTTCTTGGTCATTTTCTTATGTTTATGGTAGGGCTTTGGTAAGAAGCATACATATATATTAGTAATTTTAAACTGTTTGTTGTAAAACTGAAGCAATGCATTCTGGGTAGGCTTTAGGACGAAGAACAGGAACTTGTTTTAAAAATAAGAGCGTGAATTTAACAGCCCACCATTGGGAAAGGTTTTAAAATTTAAAAAATGTCTTGAACAATCCGGCAGCTTCAGGCATGTTTCCTCCTCGGCTGCAGCTCGGGTTCACGTGAGCGGCTGCACCCTCGACAACAAAGGCTCTCAATGGATGAGACGCACGGTGAAGGCTATCTAAAGCCAATAGTGATCAAGATCCCGCCTCCTCGCAGCCACCACTGGGTTTGTGTGTCTGTGTTTTCACAGGCAGCATAGAGAACAGGGATCAGATGGAGAAATATGAAGAAATTGCGTTAACGCGCGTTAAAAAAATTATCGCCGTTAATCGCCCGCTGAGTTAACGCGATAACGCGATAACGCAATAACGTGCCCTGCACTAAGTTTGAAGGGCTCGACACACGGGGAGTGACAAACTACAGCAATTAACGGCTGTCATCGCAGCCAGGGTGAAACCCGACACACGGGACACGATAGACGGCAGCGCTGCAAATCGCGCTTTCAGGTCGTTTGTCTTCACGAAATTTGATTGGTTCTTCTAGGGGTGTGTGCAATACGGACGTGTAAACTAAACAAATCTTGCGATGCTAATGATATTGAAAAACAAACACACACCATGATACAATTTTATGAGGAAAAACTTACCGGATAACTTCACCCTGGCCCCAAAAAAATTCCCTCAAAGCTGCTTTTAATCACTTGGTGAAAGCGTTAGCTAACTGCAGTGTGTAGCATACTCTCCTCTCATTGGTCAATCAATGAAACCCTCGCTGATTGGTTGTACGCTAAGCGACAACGACAAAAGTTGAACATTTTTTAACTTTCATATGTCGCGTCGGAAGCTTGCGTGTGCACGCCTACATGTACGAATGCGAAATTTCACATGCACTATTTTCGTTGGAGGAGGGCGAGCGATTGTCTCATGACACATAGGCCTCTCACCGAAACATCACGCAGTACACCCAAAGTTTTTATTTTCAAGCTTGGCAGGGCTTCCTGTTTGAGAGGGGTTCACATGACAGGTGAGGTCACTTCCTTTTAGCTTGTGGCTGTGATGACAGCTTCCAGTGGGTGTGGTCGTAAACTGAAGAAAGTGTCTGCAGATCTGCAGCAGGGGGTCATAGTGTCGTGATCTCAAATCTGATCAGACTTGGCCAGAACTGTAAGGTGATCATTTTACATGTGTGCAAATAAATATGTAAGTTTGACAACTGGATTGGTTTTCCGTGTTAAATTTGGGCTTCAGTCTGAATGTGCTTTACAGATGGTGCCCCCAACGTAAAAAATGTTTTTCAAAGAACTGAAAAGATCTCAATGAACTGACGGGAAAACAATAAATCACATTAAATGTTTTGAAAAGTATAAAAGTTATTTCACTGCAAACAAACAGGAAGAGTCTCAACTTAGTTAAGTCTAACTCTGGCTGTGGTGGACTAAGGACCATGGTTCTGGTCTCAGAGTGTCTGATAGCAGGACTCACCTTCAGGTCTGACACATCTTTGTAGCACTTCTCAGAGCGTGTGTGGTCCGACAGCTGGACGTTCCAGAAACAGGGCAGCTGGTGGACCAGAAATGGGTTCTGCTTGATGACGGCGTTGAAGATGTCCTGCAGACAGAAGACACGTTTAAAGTTCCCCAACTACCTGAGTCCCAGAGTCAACTAGTCTCTCTGCTCACTAGAAACTAGAAAACTTTTCATCACACAGTCCAGCTGCACGTTGAACCAATAAGAGGCCCAAATTGTTCACTTTGCCAAATGATTAGTTTGGATTCTTGGCCCGCACACTGGTCTGCACGTGGACTAAATGATGTCCAACTTAGACCACTACCTTTGTGTGAGTCACTTTTTGAAAGAGAGTGTGCATGCTTTTAAAACTAGTCTAAAGTGTAGATTTCAAGTGCAGAAATGGAAATTTTGATGGAGATGAGATGAACTCTGTTAACAGATTTTATTCATTAAAAGGTTAGCAGTTAGGGGCTTATACTCTGTATGTTAACTTCCTCCTTTTGTTATTAATTTGAAATGTGACATTTCTGACCAGTAACAGTGGACACTAATGTTGGACCATATTCACACTATAGCTGAACATTTAGTTTTGATCTGCCACCAAAAGGCAGACGATAATGGCTTTGACTGTCTCTGTTTCCTAAAGATCTCATCTCTGTCCCCGTTCACAATGGTGGGCAGCGCTAATCCAAAAATCAGCTCCGCAATTTCTAAAGCACTTATGAAAATATTTAGGTCCACAAATTCAAAAGCTCTTATGCCATAGAAAAACTAGCAGAAGCTAATTTTAAAGCGCAAGTTCAACACTTACTAGCTGGAAATAATTCATGTATAATATATGCACAACACTGCCAACTAGCGGTGTATGAACCCTTTTACAACTTAATTCTACAACCTCTGATTGCTGGGGATGTGATTTCCTGAAACAACCTTTAGCTCCTGGTGTAAAAATTAAAACGTTGTTGAGGATTGCTAGTTCGGCTGCTTCTTTGTCTTTTTCTTTTGTTTGTTGCAGATTTTTCATTAAAGAAGCATAAATAAAGTCATTTTAAAAATGTTTATTGGAAAACTGAAGCGATGCATTCTGGGTGCATGACGGATTTGATTTGTGACGGGAAACGAAAGCACAGAGGACAGGAAACTATCTTCACTTCAAAATAAGAGCATGGATTTTAAAGTTTTCCATGTTGTTGCTCCAGTTGACCACTAGATACCAGTCTTCATCAGCATAACATCTTTAAATCATTTCTGCGTTTCTAACCCCGTTGGCCGATTGCTTCGACCAATTACGTCAAGTATTGAGCTCCAGCGTTTAAACTTTTTTTTTTTTAAAAAGGAGCTCCGATTGTAAAGACAAATAAATCAATACATACAAAATTTTAGTATGGATTACAAACGTTAACTGTTTTAGCTGGGACAGGGAGTTCTAAACACTGCCTACCTGCTACGTAAGCAGACACAAAGCATTGTGGGAAATCAGAACCGTGACCGAAAGCAACAGTCAGCAAGGATGTTTACCTTTCCAATAAGTGTGTTTATCTGGGAGGGGTGCTGTTGGATAGATCATGTGTGTTGTGATTCATTGACAGCCATACCTTCTGCTGTTCAAGCTAATGATGACTGGTAGATAATTAGTTAGTAGCTGTACTGCATTTTAATTTTAGAAAGCGCAAATCTGCCTATGAATTATAAAAATTAGTAAGACTGCTAAAGCGCAAACTAAATATTTAGGTTTGTAATTTGCACTTTAGCGGGCCGGTGCCCACCACTGCCTGTTCGTGACACAGTTTGGATATCCATCTCATCAAGCTGCTGTTGAAGTTTTCTATGATGGTCAGGCTCTACTTTCAATCAGAGACACTATAGCTGCTCTCAGTTCCTCGTGGGTCTGGATCTTTATCGGACCTGTCTGCTGACGGCCACAGAATCTCTTTTTTAAAAGAGAGAGAGAGAGAGAGAGAGAGAAAAGAAGCAGAGCTGGGATTCAAGAGAAATAGTGATATATTGTGGAAGTGCTGCGTCGCTAAGCAACAACATCGTGAGCTGTTACCAAACTAAACCACTGTTTTTCCAACTGATGGGATCTTTTCATCCCAGAATATGGATTATCACCTCAGACTGGTTCATCCCTACAGGTCTGGTCTGGGGTTTTTCTTTCTGTTTCTGAAGGCTGCAGAGCCAGCCTGCACTGAGCTGCTGCGAAGAGGCTGAGTCCTTCTGCTGCCAAAACATCATTTGTTTTAAATAATTCTGTTTGCACTACCAAACTGTATTTCCTGTTCTCCATTGGAATCTGACAGCGGGTCACAGATCATACATTCTTTATTGAACCCTGACCTGATGGACTCTGCTCTCTGAGCCAGGCAGGACTGACTGGTACAGGAGGAGGACTGGTTCTGGACAGTTTTCCACCTTTAAACTGCAAATAGTTTTTTCTGTTCCTTATTTATCACCCACCAGCTCATTATAATTGCTGAACTTCTACAGTGAAGCTGATTGTTATTGGTCATGAGGAAAATATAGCTGATCTCTTACTCTGATGGAGTCTTTTTCATTTTGTCCAACAAGTTTTTGGTCCCCCACATAACAGCGATCATAATTTGGATTTGCTTTTTAATTTGAGCTTAAACATCTCAACTCCTTGTATGTGGGACATTTTCAGTTCTGATGTTTGTGTTTCTTTACTCTGTCGTTGAAGCTCGAATTGTTTCAACCTTATCAAGTGATCAGTTTTCGATTTTAAATCAATCCTTTGCTGGTGTTTGTTCATCAGACTCTGTAGGCCTTTTCTACAGTGAGCTGAGGACTCGTGGTTTTAGGCTGGTATTTTTGTAGCACCTTATTGTTGGAGTTTCTTAACTTATTGTTTCATGTTTATGATGTGGAGCACCTTGTAATTTTAATCTTGAAAAGCTCTTTATATTTATTTTGTGGCAACTGATTAACGTTTGGATTGGAGATGGCTGCCACAGCTGACCTTAAAAAAAACATTGGCTGTGCACAAATTCAGGAGCTGCATCCTTGGAAGGCTGAATTTGACAGTAGATTGTGTCCCAACTCCATTACTTCTAAGCAAAGAATGATCTTGGCTAAAAGTTGTGGCATGAAGGACGGTGGGTGAAAGGCATTTCTGCCAGGAATGCTGGGCCTTTAAGGGATGAAAGTCTTTCTGCTCTGCAACAATCGGAGGTTTTGTAGTTTCACCAAACTTTAAACTTTTGATCCTAGATGTGGGACCAAAAACTGAAAACTGCACAGAAACACTCACTTCCATTTGGGTTCTATTGGGGCTAATGTTGGTCACCTTCCAAACTCTGTTTGGGATTACTTGACATGTCCGATATTACAGTGGCAGGCCGTGCATTTGACACCTAGGCCTTCAATTGAGAGAGAATGGACCTGCCGGACTGGGGGTGGGGGGATGGGGTGCTGTCCAGAGCGGCAGAAAGAGCAGGGAGGGAGAAGAG